AGATGCTTGATGGAAAAAGAAATACAACAGTAGTAAATGTATATTTTATTGTTTGACATTCATGGAGGAGCTGCATGTAGTAGTCTGCATAATCTTCCCAGCAGGTGGAGGTGGCAGAGAGCAAGCCCCAAAGGGCCCCAGTATCCAGAGGTAAATAAGGCCAAGTGAAGTCACACAGTTTGGCAGCACTATTTGGGACAGGATTTCTGTTTATCAATCATCTTACAGTGTTTTGTGTTTCACAGAATTTTAAAGGGAAGTCAACTTGTTTTCCAGATGAAATGGAGAGAAAAGAAATGAAGAAAGGGGGCCCATAGGTAAGAGAAATATACAGCATAGTTTGTGATGTCCTATAAGAATGGGGGTTTCCATAAAGAATAGAACAAAGAAAGACCTTTAAAATATTTATTTTAAAAATAAATAAGAAGAGTAGGCAGTTTTTAGAAGAAAGTTGAAGGACTCATAGAATTGTAAAAATGATTACAATTCCTTTATGTCCATTCTTGTAACAATCATATTTTGAGATGTTTCTTTTCTTAATTGACTAGACTTAAGGAACTTATAATAACATATACACATCTTTTTTTTTTTTTTTTTGGTGGCTGGCCAGTACTAGGGTCCGAACCCAAGACCTCAGTGTTATGAGGCTGTGCTTTAACCAACTGAGCTAACCAGCCATCCCTCACATCCTATTATAATTATTACTTATAAATGCTTTACTATGCTAACAGAATTATGTAATTAAAATCTTGGTCTTTCCAGTCCTTCTGGTTTTTATAGTTCATCAACATTTTAAAAATTCTCTTCATACTTAATCTATATTGCAAAAAATCAGTGAGAAATTTTGATGGAACAAACTCTACATGCCATAAAATATCATTTTAAATGAGAATTTCAAATGTTTACTGTTTACCCAATTTTTTAAATCAACATTATTGTGGTAATAAATACTATTAGGACTAAGATAATAGATAGCATCAATTTATCCCTTAGAAAAATAAAACATCCAAAGGCCAGAAAAGTTTTGTGTGCAGCATTATTATAGTAATATAAAAATCTTCCTTGAAAGAAAGAAAGACCTCAATAATACATTGAATTTTCATAAGGAGAGAACCAACCTATGGTTACTAGAGGTGGGAAAGGGGGAAGGGGCTTAGGGAGAAATTGGTAAGGGACACAAAGAATAATTACCATTTGTAATAATGAACATGCTAATAATATTGATTTGATCATCACATATTTTATGCAAATACTGATAGTCAACTCTGTACCCCATTAATATGTATAATCTATTGTTTCAATTAAGAAATTAATCTTTCTTATAATGTTTTTAATTTGTGCATATTTCATTATGTTTATTTGAGCTATTTTCATGCCATCTTTTGACCCACCTAGTATTATTCACATTTAAAGCACTAAAGCATAAAAATATATTTAATTTGCCTGAAGTCTCTCACTAATAGGATAAACAGGACTGGATTATTGATTTCTCAATCCTGGCACCTTACTTTATAAGGATTTTTTCCTGTGATTAAAACAGAGGAGCTTCAAAGAGAAGCCCCCATGTTGTTCACTGTCCCTAAGTTTTCACTGCTATGGAAAAAAGACAGCCACAGAAATATCTCTCAGCCTACACGCCCTTGCAGCATGACCTTGCCACTCCCACTTCAGAAAGTGGTATGTCTATCTTTGTACCCCACTTAATCTAAGTAGGACCTATGACTGCTTAGACCAATAGAATATGGCAGGAGTGACACAGGGCAAGTGGTGGGTATATACCTTAACTGACTGGCAGTTCCTCTTTTCTGTCTCTTAGAATCCAGCTGCCATCTAAGAAATGCTACTACCCTAAGACCACCGTAGGATAAGAAGGCCAGGCCACATGAAAAGATCCTGGAGGGTGAGATGCCACAAGGAGAGGAAGAAAGAGGCCAAGAAGGAAATGAGGTGCCAGACATGTGAGTGAAGACGTCCTGCGTGACCAGCCCAACTGAGCCTTCAGATAACTTCAGCCCCAGCCACTATCTGCCTGTGCCGCTCGACAAACTCAAGATAAGAACTTCCCAGCTGAGTCCAGTCTGCCAGCAGAACTTTGAGAGATACTAACAATCTGTCATTTTATTCACTAAGTGTCCAGGTAGTTTGAAGCACAATAGTAGATAACTGAAACAACTGCCCTCTCTCACAACAAAACTTCTCTGAAATCTAACATATGGGAACACAATCTTGCCTCTCAACTTTCTCCCTGTATTTTCCTCTGAGTATGAGTGGTGGGTGGTCGGGGGGCTGGGGGGAGGCGGGATTTATATCACACATATTCAGTTAATCTATTAGGAGAAATGTAACAAAGTGTGAAAAATATTTGGAGTTGGCATTCTACACAGTATCTGTTATACTGGATTTGGTTACAACAATATCTTATATTTTTAAAATAATACCTACCATAAATTGAGCACCTGTTTATGTTAGACATTCCTTTGGGAACTTTAAACACACAAATACATTCAATACTCTTGACCACCCTGTACAGTATCATTCTCATTTTTATAGATAAAGAAATTCTAGACGTGAAATAACCTTTACAAGATCACATAATTGTTAGTCACTGGCTGAGCCAACATTTTAAAATGTCTCTTTATAATTCCAAACTCCAAGCTCTGAAACACAATTCACAATACTGTCCTCAAATCTTTCTATTTTACAATGAGCTTCTTAAATGATTTTTTTCAAATGATATAGGCCTAAATAAGATGCTGATATCTTTTTTTAAGAGCAACAGTATGATATGGCAGCTTCAATATAACTTGCCCATGTAGTTTTTTATTTTACATATTTATTTGACTTCATTTTCTTCAGAACTGTCTTAAGAAAGCTATTTCATTTGGATAAAGAGGAATAACTCAGGCATTTTATAACTGATCAAGTTATGAGGACCACTGTCTCATTGGTGGGGAGAGCAGGGACAAGGGGAGAAGCACTGACTTTCATGTTCATTCACTCTAATTCTTTTAACACTTCTGTAAGGAAAGCTTTATACAGCATCTACTTCATAGATTAGAAAACTATATATCAGATAATTTAAAAGATTTGCCAAAGTTGCTCAGAAAGTGGGCAGATCCTACGATAGTGCCCTTCCAGTCATAGTATACCTATAGTCTAGAATTACACAATTAATCTATGTCCTCCTTTATGACTTTGATTCACACGTGGATCGTGATTTTAAAGTTGTCTTTTCTAATTCAATTCCTAATATTGCCCTTGATTCCATCTCTAGTCCAACCTAAGAGCCTCCTCTTAAACCCCAGAGTTTTGCACTAGATTACTTTGTTCAACATTATAATGGTACTCCTGAAATGTTATACACCAGAATCAGAATTTGTAAGGATCAAAAGTTGATAGCAAGCTAACTCTAGGACTCACAATCTGTAAAAATGGAAGTTTGGTGCTGTGAGCCATGCTGTTCTCAATGGAAATATTGATTCCTGTAAATCTTCTCTTTGTGAAAGCAGATTACCTCGATTTGCTTTTGAATGAGATGTATATTACCTTCTAATTTTGTCATTTCTGTTTCCCAACTCTTATTTGAGTTTTCATGTAAATTTGAGTCCCATGTTAAAAAGAAATGTACAATGAAACTGAGAATCTGTTCTGGAACATAATCAATTGTTTTTGTAACATTTTTCACATACTACCCTTTTCAGCAGGAAATGGTAAGAAATGACTTACAAAATTTCAATGACTCTATTACTGCAAAAAATAATAATAATAAAATTAAGAAAACCAAAGTTGAAATTGAAATGAAAACACAGCCTTTCATAAATGGTGACTATTCTTGTCTTTTTTGAATAATTCAAGCTATAGCAAAATATTACAATGCTATTTGGGTGACCAATATTTTGAATAATTGAATTGGCATTAAGCAGTTATTTAAAAGACATCTTCAGAAACTTAAAAAGATTCTTCTAATGTAAAACATCTCACTTTTGAGGGGGGAAAAGATGGTAGAGCTCAGAAAACAAAAATTTATGGCAATGAGATCATTAAGCAGTTATTTAAAAGACATCTTCAGAAACTTAAAAAGATTCTTCTAATGTAAAACACCTCACTTTTGAGGGGGGAAAAGATGGTAGAGCTCAGAAAACAAAAATTTATGGCAATGAGATGAAGCTTCTGCATTCCCCAGGGACCCACATAGTATCTGCCCATGATTCTTCACACATGCCCAAATCCTTTTCCTAAACACTAATACAGAGGGACAAAAGAGGCCTTTTGTTTTCTAGTTTTAATTTCTTGACAAGCCACCATTTCAACTAGTGCTAATATTAGCTGGGAAAAAAACTTCCAGAAACTCATTGGAACTACCCAGTTAGACTTGGGCAACTGATTTATAATTGCAAGGTCATCAATAATAGTTGGAGAAATACTACCAAGTCTTATTTTTGTAGCATTTTATGAAAGAAGAAAATGGAAACAATGATGTTCAAGAAATTCCAGTATTACTATTTAAGTCTGCATGAGAACATCTATTCAAAAGATAACCAGAAGCTAGGACCATGCAGCTGAACAAGTGAGCTGCTTAAGCACTGGCCAGCTTGAAGACATAGTTATACATTATTTAAAAACTGATAATAAGACAATATCAGCTACTGACATAATGTCTACTTGCCCTCTCCCTGGCTCATTTGGAAGCCACTCAAAAGAATGCCTTTCAAATGATATCCAATAATTCTTAGGAAAAATTTTTAGATACAGACAGGCACTCAAGCATCTCGGCAGGAGATATTTGGTTTCCGGCTTCTGTTAGATAACATCTTAGCCTATGATCACAGGCCACAACTTTGCAGACTTCCTCCCAATTGAATCATGAGTGCTGAAAAGAAAACGAGTAAATGTCTAACTCCCTTCTTACTAAGGTAAGGGCTAGACTCTAAAAGATCCCCTACATTCTCAAATATTTTACTCCTCAGTTAAAATCCCCAAGATTATTTCATTCGTATTACCTTCCTCTGGACTTTTCGGTGGATGCGTTCAGGGCAGTCAATTGTGGATCTGAAGGATTTTAGTTTTGTCTTGCAATTTCTCAGTAACTGCAGTTAATAAAGTCCTCACCAGTCTTTTATACTAGCAGAATAATAAAAACTGCATGTTCCCACCTGCAACTAAGCCCAGGGATCAACCATAAATTCCATCCAATGATTGAATGGTACTTGGTATAATTACCATGACATCAATTTGATCTTATCTTGTTTCAACCCTCAGATCATTTTTGTTTTGAGCCATTTTCAGGTAGTGGTGACCTCAAGGTCAGCTTATGAAAAGAGAGTATGCTGTCATTTTCTATGTAATTTTATCAAGACTTACACACAACATCCTGAAATTTGACACTTTCCTATAAACAAGAGCCTAAGAGTATCACATTTAATTAGCTAAGTACCTGATGTTTACATAAAAGAAGAGAGGAGCTATAAATTTCAGATAATAGATATAAAGCATTTCCAGGCTTATGTTACTCTAGTAGGAAACATAAAAATAAAACACATGTCTATTTAGATTTCTCTGAAATTAATGTGTATTTGTATTTAATAAAGATACACAGAAAAGGTATGAGGTGATTCTAAGAAGGACCGAACCTTCTTCAAGAAGGTTCTCAACATCCATGCCTGTTTTTTCTTATTTTACTTTTGTAAAGCTCAGTTTCTACCTGAACAGAAATACAGGTGTTATGGCTTGCCAGCTGTGGTACATTAAACTCCATGCATCCCAATCCAATATCTCCCTAAAACCTACGGAGCTGCTCAGGCTCTGGCTGCGGCCACTTTTCTCCAGCCAGAGATTGTGACCCAGCAAAGTCCCTATCTCTATCTACTCTGCTCAGTGCCACTTCTATGGAAACTGGCTTAGATACAAATTACCAACAGCCTGCCTGGGGAGAGCTTAGAAGATCCACATGATACAAAAAAGCATCTCTTGTTTAACATGAAGAAACTGGCCAAAGAAAGCTAAGTTATTCTGTGATTTATTTCCTGTAACAAATTGATTTGTTTTCATTCTTACACCTTTTCTCCATTATCTCATTCCAATATCCACTCTACCCACTATTCACCCTACCCAGTGGATACCCTACCTTTTCCTATCACCATTATTAATGAATTTCTATCATTTAAATCTCAAAGATTGGCAGTATCTTTTCAATGCGGCAGTTGTGTTTGGTATATCTGGAGTCTTTATAGTTTCAGAGGAAGGAAACCTTTCAAGTCCTTTGGAAAGTTTCCTTTTCCCTCCCTCCCTTTCATTCAGGCATTTCACTCTTCTATTTCCTCCCCTTTGCTTGTCCCTTCTTTCAATCCATCTTTTCTTTCCTTTTTATCTGAATGATTAAGCAGAAATGATGTTTCTTGTGTGTTCGTTTTAAGTTATTTTCATTTGGTTTATGATTTAGTAATGGGTCTTATTTTATTTCACATTCCTATATAAGAATTAGGAATATTAGGAGAGTGATGTGAAAGTTTTTATAGTGTTTTTGTATATTTTTAAAATAATGTTTCAAAATAAATAAGTAATACGAAAGTGTTGTCAAACAGTCCCTTCCACACCTGACCTCTTCCCTTACCCCAGGCCCCTAATTTCTCTCCTCAGGAGTAATATTTCCAGTATCTTACATGTGTTTCTGCATGTACCATATATATATATGCAAATTATACATAAGTCCTCATCCCCATCTAAGTTCTCCTTAAAATGATCAATGGAATACACAAAAGGAAGGAAAGTCTGCACTTGTGCTCATAGTTTAGATGATTTCTTTCTGTTAATATAGTATAATTTATAGTTGTCTGTATTTATTTTTAACAATTTCTTAATGTTTCCAGAAATTTTCTATGTACTCTGGGATTTTGCTGTATAAAATGAAAGCATAAGATAAGCATTGTTTAGTACCTTGCCTTCTTTCTTCTTGTACACCTAACAATGTATCTTGCTAGTTTTTTCCATACCCAAAAGTGCAGATCTGATCCATACATTTTAATAGCACAAAGTATTATGGACCATTAATTATTTAACCAGCCCTCTACTAATGATTATTTGCATCATTTCCATTTTTTACTATTACAAACAATATTATAATTATCCTCTTTTCTGGTTACACATACAATTATACTTCTAGGATAAGTTTTTTGAAGTAGAATTGCAGGATCAAAGACTATGAGAATTTTAAATTTGACTACAGATTGCTCAGGTGCTCTTCTCCACCCCACCTAAAAGCTGCTGCCAGGAAATATATTAAACATTTTTATTAAACTAAAAGATAAAAAATAGTATATTATTTTTAATTGCATTTATGTAATTTTGAGCAGGGCTAAACATCATTTGATAAACTGTAGGTCATTTATGGAATTTTTTTCTGTAAACTGTTCAAAAATCTTTCTCAAGTTTTTAACTTCATCTTTAATTTTAAATTTGACTTTTGATGTTTCTGTGGTATTTTTACAATAGTTTTTATGTAGTCAAATTTATCTGTCTTTTACTTTTAGACTTGCAGGTTTTATGTAACACCAAGATACTAAAAGAAAGTGCCCCATGTTTTACCCTAGCATGTATACAGTTTTACTTATTTTAGGTTTAGATTTGAATTTATCTGTAATTTATTTTGTCATTAGGAGTGAAGTAAAAGTCCAGCTTCTTTTTAAATCTAAATGGCAAGCCAGTTGTTGCAATGACATGTATGGAATAATCGATCCTTTTTTCTCCATTTTGAAATGCTTCTAAATTCCCCAATATTTGGGAGTCTATTTGGGGGTTTCCTGTTGTGATCTGTATTAACAAAAAATGTTCAATAAATGATATTAAATGTCTTAAATTTAAGATTGTTATTAGACTTAATTATCTAGTGCCTATCACCAAATGTGTCAACCGAAGTGCATTATCAAAGAGAAATTGACATATATCATATCCTTAATTTACTAACAATCTGGTTACAATAAATTAGAAGCATTTGGGATTTTCCTTCAACATTCTCTTTGACTGTCATTAGGCTACTAATACCCTGATTTCTTAATCTCCACTTAACTCTTTAATGCTGGATAGCTGTATTTCTTGAAGTGTGTCCCATGTTTCATCTAAAGTCAGAATTATCAGGGTAGGGTGTTTAAAATACAGATTTCTGGGTTTTATCTGGGACCTACTGAATCAAATCTCTCTCAGTTGAGCCCAGAAAATTGCATTTTATCTGCCAGAGCTTGAGAAACATAACTGTATAGCATTGTTTAGCAAGCCAGAAATGTAGGTAAGGAGCAATATGGTTTGTTTTCATTTGCAACAGCCCCTGTGGCACAACTAAATTGAAAATGGTAACATCATTTGTTCAGCTCTGTGAGCCTCTACTCTGCACAAACAACTGAAACATCCAGCAATAGGAACCTACGATAAAGATAGCCCAAAGCAACAGAACAACTATCCCTTGGTCACAGACACAAAAACAGGCAGCAGACAGTTTCTTGGTTGAGATAAGGTTTTTAATCAGCAGCAGAAGGTAGGTAACTGACAATCAGAAAGAACCACCTGAGATGTGATGTCTAACGTATGTGGCAGCAACAAACTCTCCCCGGAACTGATGGACAAGAAGCAGGCTGACGTGACACATGCAAAGCAGCCAAGAATATTCTCTGCTATTTCAGTCAAAACAGTGTGGCCTAATCAATAATGCAAACATCCTGTTTCTCGGGCTAACAACCTCTGTCACTTGAACCCTCAAAGAGATAAAGGAACTGCTGTGGTACAGTTATACATAATCTTCCTCTAGTCTGAAATGTCAATAAACTAGGCAAATAATGCTGTAAAGAAAGGGAGGAAAATCTCACCAGTGAAAAGCAATTTGTTTAACATTTTCCATTTCTTTTTGCTTTGCACATGTCTCCTCCCACTTCCATTTCAGAAAGCTTTCAGTAATGGGCTATCAGTAAAAGCCTTCACAGGAGAAACGGAAAGAGAAGCAATTGTATTGATAGAATAGTTCAGTTATATTTATAGTGCAGTGTGAGTGGGGTGGGGAAATGAATCCCCAAAAAACTTCTTACCCTAATTTTGCAGAAGAAGTCTTAGGAGACATTAGATGTTGCCTGGGATTGCCTAAAGATCTCCATCCTAAGGTCTGGCCTATTTTGCCATGAGAGGTAAGGGTACTATATTCAGAACTGCTGTGTAATCTCCCTCTGTGTCTGTATAAATCGCCATGTGCAGCTTTAGAGACAGCAAAGAACCTGGTGGGAGAGATTCAGAGCCACTCTTATTAGGGAAAGGTTTCCTTTGCATCATGCTTTGGTGTGGGTAACAGGAATCCTGTGTTTCCTACTACAGGGAGCCTAATAGCAGCCTAAAACCTTGGCTGCTATTAAATGGAAAATATGCTTAAGGGGAAAGAGGGAGACCTAGTCACAAACATTAGTCTGACACCCCTCCCCCTCATACCACAACCACTCCCACCCCTGAGCTCTTGGCTGAATTGGAAGTTGGAGGGATTCTGTCAAATCTCAGCCTCTAAATGCTGCCCAAGCCTCACTGGGGCTAATGCAAGTCCTAGTCATGGTTCAGGCAGTGGAGACTGCCTCTTGGAAAAGTGCCTCCATATTTCTCCAGCATTTTAGAGGCAGTGTGAATCAGACCTTCTGCACACCTATACATTTCCCACAATCACATCTCTGGGATAAATATACTCCCTGGGAGTTGGGGGCCAAATGGAAATAGAAAGCAAAGGTTTTTCCACCTCATCCTTCTTTATGCCTTATCAGATTCAAAGGCCACCTATGCCATGTTTGGCTCTCTAAGCCCGTTCTCCATGGGAGTGGTTTTAACTTGGGTAATTCTTTGAAACACTAAAGCCAGCTTACAGGAGAAAAAGAAAAAAGAAGAGAAGATAGAAGAGTGGGAGATAAAGAATTTGTATATACCTGAAAATTGCCAAAGGAATAGAATATCATAAACTATAGAATGAGAGTCATCAATAAAAAGACAGAGAAAAATCAGTGTGGAGACTGACTCCTAGACTTTAAAGAACTGAGACAACACTATTATTATTTGAGTATATGGCACCTTTCCCTACCCCCAAAATACTGTGTATTTTA